TGAGTACCTTGAAAATGCTTTGCATGCATTTTTCATGATGAAAAAAGGCTCTGGACAGCATCGGGAACTAGAAGAGTTAAAAAAAAAATTGCAAATGCTTATAAACGTGATTTGCCGCGTTTACAAGCGTTTTGCGTTTGAAACGCTGATAAAATCGACTGCTAAACATAAGTTTTCTGCGTTCAAAAAAATGACTGTAAACTCAAATGCCTGTAAACGAAGATGTGTACATGGACAAAAGTTCTTTTATTTCAGTAATGCAACTTAAAAGGTGAAACTAATATATGAGATAGACTCATTACATGCAAAGCAAGATAGTTCAAGCCGTGATTTGTCATAATTGTGATGATTATGGCTTACAGCTCATGAAAACCCCAAATCCACAATCTCAGAAAATTAGAATATTACATGCAATCAATAAAACAAGGATTGTACATAGAACCATATCGGACCTCTGAAAAGTAGAAGCATGCATTTGCACTCAGTACTTGGTTTGGGCTCTTTTTGCAGCAATTACTGCCTCAATGCGGCGTGGCATGGAAGCTATCATCCTGTGGCACTGCTGAGGTGTTATGGAAGACCAGGATGCTTCAATAGCGGCCTTCAGCTCTTCTGCATTGTTCGGTCTCTCATGTCTCCAATCTTTCTCTTGGCAATGCCCCAAAGATTCTCTATGGGGTTCAGGTCAGGCGAGTTTGCTGGCCAATCAAGCACAATAATCCCACGGTCATTGAACCAGGTTTTGGTGGTTTTGGTAGTGTGGGCAGGTGCCAAGTCCTGCTGGAAAATGAAGTCAGCATCCCCATAAAGCTCGTCTGCAGAAGGAAGCATGAAGTGCTCCAAAATCTCCTGGTAGACGGCTGCGTTGACCCTGGACTTAATGAAGCACAGTGGACCAACACCAGCAGATGACATGGCTCCCCAAATCAACACAGACTGTGGAAACTTCACACTGGACTTCAAGCATCTTACAGTGTGTGCCTCTCCATTCTTCCTCCATACTCTGGGTCCTTGGTTTCCAAATGAGATGCAAAAGTTGCTCTCATCAGAAAAGAGGACTTTGGACCACTAAGCAACAGACCAGATCTGTTTTTCTTTAGCCCAGGTAAGACGCTTCTGACATTGTTTGTTGTTCAGGAGCGGCTTGACAAGAGGAACACGACATTTGAAGCTATTGTCCAGGATCCGTCTGTGTGTGGTAGCTCTTGATGTACTGACTCCAGCCTCAGTCCACTCCTTGTGAAAGTCCCCAACATTTTTGAACGTCCTTTTCCTGACAATCCTCTCCAGGCTGCAGTCATCCCTGCTGCTTGTGCACCTTTTTCTTCCTTTGGGAACATCCAACTTCTTTTGCAATAACCTTTTGAGGCTTTCCCTCCTTATGGAGGGTGTCAATGATGGTTTTCTGCACAACTATCAGGTCAGCAGTCTTTCCCATGATTGTGATTCCTACTGAACCAGACTGAGAGACCATTTAAAGGCTCAGGAACCCTTTGCAGGTGTTATGGCTTAATTAGCTGATTAGAGTGGGACACTTTGAGCTGAGAATATTGCACCTTTTCACAATATTCTAATTTTCTGAGATTGTGGAATTTGGTTTTCATGAGCTGTAAGCCATAATCAGCACAATTATGACAAATCACGGCTTGAAATATCTTGCTTTGCATGTAATGAGTCTATCTCATATATTAGTTTCACCTTTTAAGTTGCATTACTGAAATAAATGAACTTTTGCACGATATTCTAATTTTTTGAGTTTCACCTTTACTTCCAATAAGATGGCCACCGCTTGCAGCAGCTAGTGACAGTCTCACCGCACACTGGTAACTAAGATCTTAAACAACGATCACGCGCTCTCACCACATGGTCCCGGGGTGCGTGCTGATGTCACGGATGGTCACATCCTGACGCGTTTCGTCATATCCGACTTCCTCTGAGGGTGTTCGAAAAGATGACTGTCTAATGTTTCACCACTACACCTTTATTGGAGTTATATGTACATGGTTTATGTGTCGTCTATACATTTTTGTACATTTGTCCTTTTCTATGTCATTTGTATGTTTGAAAACCTTTAATAAAACTATTGAACAAGGAAAAGGACTTTTGTAATGGGTAATGATTACTGAAAAGTCGACAGGGAAGACTTTGGGTACTATTCCTAAATTTCAGAAGGCCTGGACACTGTCAATCTCATATTTCTAACTTGTAGACTCTGATCGTCGCCTTCTGGAGCTCTGATAAATTTTACTAACCAATTTATCTGAGCATGGTGAGTCTCTCCTGGCATGTCCTTCCCTTCCTTTCCCCTACACTTAATATATTCTTCAATCAGTAGATGGCAATGTTTATAGGTTTGTAGCTGCATCTATGATGAACTCTATGTTTTTTCTCTATAAAGTTCCTGTTTCTTGTTTGCAGAGAAGCAGCAGATAAACACATGTGGACTGTGCATTGTCTGTTCTGTAGGTCTATATACAGGCTCTCTAACACTTATTTCTCTGGAACTTCTATTTTTTACCTCTATTATGACAGGAAAAGGTGACTGTTGAATGTTTGACCGTTACACCTATATTGGAGTTTTATGTACATTTTTTTATATGCCATCTATACGTTTATTGTACATTTTTCCTTTTCTATGTCATTTGTATGTAGCGCTACCCTCTTGAGGGCAGCTGGATTTTTGCTGGGCCACCCTAAGCTCTGCACAGCCAGGCAGCATGTATTTTTCACTTTCAGCGTCAGTAAAACTAGTCCTTGAGCTTGTTTTTTTTTTAGGAGTTAACAACTTGGATGGGGTCTAGGGGTATATGGGATGCGCAAGGAACTGTAAAACCTGAGGATAACTTCTTATCAAACTGTACAAAGGTGGACCAAAAAAAAAAAAAAAAAAAAACAGTCTTATTAAGGAGCCCTTTTAGGTGTAACTCCTCAGACCCCAGATAAACCTTTCCTCATCCACAAGCTGTCCTGAGGGTATCTTTGGGCAAGGGTTTCCAAGATCTATTGCAGGGTTGTCCCAGATGAGAACTAGATGGGTATTGCACCTGACCACCTTCTCCCTTCTGTGGCCCCAGGGGGAAATACTCACAGTCCTGTAGCTTTGTGGGTTGCAGCTGCTTTCATGTTTTTACGCTGGGCTAGCTCCTTCCCTGCTGATAGGCTGTCCTCCCTAAGAGACTGTAGGGCAGTGGAGATCCTTCTGTCTGCTCCAGGCTATAGGCAAGCCCCACTTTATGGGGGCCTCTCCCAGACTCCTCGCTCCAGCACCTTCCTTCAGTCCATCTTCCACCCAACTCCAACAACTCCCCTGCTGATCAGGCTCTCTCACATTTAGGGCTGTCTTAGTCACAATGTCAGGCCTCCTCTTCTAGAAAATTATTGCAGTATCTAGAAGGATGGGAGGGCTCCAGAAACCCTGACCTGTACAGCCTCCCAGCTCGTCCTGAGGTAACCTCACTGCGTCACTCCCAGGCTGACTCATCCCAGGCTTCTAACAAGTCTCTGACTAACCTAAAAAATATCCTATCTACCTAGAGGGTGCTACATGTACATTTGAAAAAAAAGGATGTTTGATTTTCCAGCAATGACAACCCTGACCTGTACAGCCTCCCAGCCTGCGCTGAGGTAACCTCACTGCCTCACTCCCAGGCTGACTCATCCCAGGATTCTAACAAGTCTCTGACTAACCTAAAAATATCCTATCTACCTAGAGGGTGCTACATGTACATTTGAAAAAAAGGACGTTTGATTTTCCAGCCATGACAACCCTGACCTGTACAGCCTCCCAGCCTGTACTGAGGTAACCTCACTGCCTCACTCCCAGGCTGACTCATCCCAGGCTTCTAACAAGCCTCTGACTAACCTAAAAAAATATCCTATCTACCTAGAGGGCGCTACATGTACATTTGTAAAAAAAAAAAGGACTTTTGATTTTCCAGCAATGACAGCCCTGACCTGTACAGCCTCCAAGCATGACCTGAGGTAAGCTCACTGCTTCACTCCCAGGCTTCTAACAAGCTTCTGACTAACCTAAAAAATAATTTATCTACTTAGAGGATGCTACATGTACATTTGAAAAAAAAAAAGGACGTTTGATTTTCCAGCAATGACAATGCTGACCTGTACAGCCTCCCAGCCTGACCTGAAGTAACCGTACTGCCTCACTCCCAGGTTGACTCATCCCAGGCTTCTAACAAGCCTCTGACTAACGTAAAAAATATCCTATCTACTTAGAGGGCGCTACATGTACATTTGAAAAAAAAAAGGACTTTTGACTTTCCAGCAATGACAGCCCTGACCTGTACAGCCTCCCAACCAGCCCTGAGGTAACCTCTCTGCTTCACTCCCAGGCTGACTCATTCCAGGCTTCTAACAAGCCTCTGACTAACGTAAAAAATATCCTATCTACTTAGAGGGCGCTACATGTACATTTAAAAAAAAAAAGGACCTTTGATTTTCCAGCAATGACAGCCCTGACCTGTACAGCCTCCCAACAAGACCAGTGGTAACATCACTGCTTCACTCCCAGGCTGACTCATCCCAGGCTTCTAACAAGCCTCGGACTAACCTAAAAAATATCCTATCCACTTAGAGGGTGCTACATGTACATTTGGAAGAAAAGGACTTTTAATTTTCCAGCAATAATAGCCCTGTATTTCTCTCTGTTCCTTCAACTTGTGACACATAATTTTACTTGTGCTTGCAATTTTTGTCACATATTCCAGACATTCTGTCTGCTCTATTCCCTGTACATTTTGTAATATTAACAGTGAAACTCTCAATATAAAAAAAGAAGAAAATAGAGAGTCTTTTTAATAATTTAAAAACATTTATTTGATGTATTACACCCTACAATGCCATGCTTATTAACATAGTAAAACAACAGTGGTGATACAATGGGAAGACAGCACTGCAAGAGGCACAATAATCACACCGGAACATAAGAAAGATTTATTCATAAATTTAATCTCACACATTTATAAGTACTATGACCACAGTATTATGCTAGAACCAGCTTGGCAGCAGGTGGATTGAATAAATACATTGAACCGCTGCATATGTTAAAAATACAATAAAGAAACAAAAATATGCAAAACATAAAAAAAAGTATCACTGATGGGATCATTTACAAAAACTGGAGGAAAACGGTAACTGTTGCCCACAATAACCAGTTTACCCTTTTAAAACAATTCAAAGAATCTGATTAGCTGGACAAGAGCATCAGTTTAGCTCTAATTGATATATTGTCCATAATAATCAATCAGGATTGAACCAAGAAACAAGGAATCTACTTGGCACTTATAGGCAGCAGCTAAAAAGCTAGTTTTAGGGCCCGTTCACACATACGGCTAAGGCTGGCCATACATTGTACAATTTTCTTGAGAATTTTTCTTTAGATTTACCAAAAACCACATAAAAGGAGGTCAAACCTAAACAACACTTTCAGTTGTATCCAATTGGGCAAGCCCTTGCACTACATAGTTGAAGGTAACCCTAAAGGAAATTGGTCAGAAATTGGACAGAAAATTGTATAGTGTATGGTCAGCCTAAGCCTGGCCATACATTGTACAATTTTCTTGAGAATTTTTCTTTAGATTTACCAAAAACCACATAATATGAGGTCAAACCTAAACAACACTTTCAGTTGTATCCAATTAGGCAAGCCCTTGCACTACATAGTTGAAGGTAAATCTAAAGGAAATTGGACAGAAAATTGTATAGTGTATGGCCAGCCTTAATGTACAACCTAATGCAACTGGATGGGGCTGCCTGTTTTCAAAAAGTGACAGTTATTTTCAGCTCAGCCCCTTGAGAATGGAAAATTACAGTCACAGGGCTAAACAAAGATCCGTATTGTTTTGTTAAAGCCCAAGTAAAATTTCATATTTAAAATCAGCTAAATACATTCCAGGTGATATCCAACAAAAGGTGTTCATGGTCTTACAGTTCATTTTCTTTTTAAAGCAGCCACAGCTTGAGCAGAAAAACCTGCCCCCTGCCTGCTAAAAAAAGACCCCTTGCTCTCTTTGTGTAAGCAATGCCCTCTATGTAGAGGAGCGACAACCCCTTACTGAGTAGAACCTTTAGATCCGCAATTAGCAGAAAGGTCTGTCCCTTGCCAGCACACTGCAGAGTGGAACCCTAGTTTATTGCGTGGAAGCAGTGGCCTCCCTGCAGAGGTTTGACATGCCCCCTACTGAGTCAAAACTAAAGCTCTTCAATAAGTAGTGATCATGAGATTTTCCGATTACAGATCTCTAGCCCTGACTTAAGGGCATGTCACCCCTCTGCAGAGAGACCAAGAACCTTAAAGATCCTCCTCAGCGGCATGCTGGCAAGGGAAAGACTTTTCTACTCAAGCTGAGGCTGCTTTAAAAAGGAAATGAACTGTAATCTGTGGCTGCTTTCTAAAGAAGAAACTCTGGATCTTTGCACACTTGGTTCTGATGCACCTGAAATGTATTTAGCTGATTAAAACTAAAAATTCTATTGGGCTTTAGGCTCAGTTCACACTACTGTGGGTCATGCAGCCGTGTTTTCTCAGGCAAGGCAGTGTTTCCATACACTTGTTTGAAAACGTGGCCGCAGGGAAACCGCATGGTCTTTTTGAACATGCGGTTCCTGCACTTCGCTGCGGGCTGAGATGCATGGGGGTACCATTCAGATTAAATGGCAGACTAGCGCGTTTCGTAAGAGCAGCGCGATTCAGCTGCGGGTGGTTACGGGTGCAAGAACAGATTTCCGCACCTGCAACCAGCCGGCAATAGTGTGAACCAGGGCTTAGAGTTTATGAATCTATAGTGACCCATCAATTTTGAATGGCACCCAGGGGCGTACTGACCATTCGAGCACTTGGGCACTGCCCGAGGGCCCAGGGTCAGTAAGGGGCCCCATAAAATGCCCCTGGTACCTTTTTTTATAGGCTTTTTTAGGTGTGTTTTGAGTTTGGGCAAGGACACAGGGGCCCCATGATCCCCTATTGCCCGGGGGCCCCATGATTTGTCAGTCCGCCCCTGATGGCACCCCAGTACATATACTCCACTGCACAACCCACAATGCACACTGTGCTGAAAAAGTAGAGCCAGAGCAATTTCTCCAGCCCTGCAGTAATGCAATGTGCTGCACTGCAAGCATTACCGCACCACAAAATGCTGCGAATGGGCCCTTCCTCCAGTTTTAATAAATCAATCCAAGCTCTGGGCAGAACAAAAGCCATGTGTATAATAAGTGATTTTTTTTTAGTCTTTTGAGTTTTATTTCTCAGCGCTATTGAATACTTTTGGCAATGTGATACATTTGAGGTTTTGTTAGTGACTACCTGAGTGCAGAGAATTATATTCCTGAAAAGTTTGCACAGATCTAATACACAGATATTATAAGGCGCGGTATTACTGTACACAAACACACACATACACAAGTGTCACTTCCAAGTGCATTAAATGCACACGTATGTTGAAAAAATTTAAGACAATTTCATAGTGAACTGGAAGGCAGAATATGTGTATATCACAGCATATGGTGTCTATGGTATATACTGTATACTGTAGATATATGTGTTATCATGAACATACAATGACGTGTAGGCTGAGTGCACACATGCAGTTTGTGTAGCAGTGCGCTGCAGTGAGTTTAGCACGCTGCAGCTGCACGGCACCTGTCAAAGTAGGCAAGGTGAATATCCAGTCCTCCATACACACAGGAAATCTTCACTACTTGTTGAAGAATACACTAAGAAATTTGCACTGAAGACCCCATGGGACAAGCCGTGATTAAAAATCTGGTGGTAATTGCCAAATTTGAAGTCGTGATGCCGTACAGCTGCAGTACGTTGCAACGCAAGAGTGCATAAAAGCACAAAAAAGCATAAAGCCATAAACACTCAAAAAAAGGACAAAGTAAAACTCATCAGACTCAGACACAATACAGAAAATGTAGAATATCACAGTGATATAAATTACTGCAGGACTACAGACCTTCTTGCATTAGATAAAACTGCTAACACCATGGCGTTCCACCCAAAGTAGCATTTATTAGTATGTCCTGCCCTCCATACTGCCCTAGATGCCATCCTAAATTAAAGGAACATACGCGATGCAAAGGTTCATTGTGCTTTTTCCTGTTGTTTAGAAGAGGGAAAAAAAAGGCGACACTAAGTAAACAACTTGTAAGACCCGCGTGCTTCACGTATGAAAGGCATTTGAAGAGGAAGTTGGCGTCATTTATTAAAGCATGACTGTAGGCAAATAAGTGGTTTCAATACAAATGCATGAACTCTTATACCTGGCAAAAGATTTGGTATGATGATTGAGGCACCCCTGCCAGACAGTACACTCAGGTTTTGTACATTGTAATTAAGCAAAACAACCTGGTTAAGGAACTGGTCCTGCTTGTAAATGGACAATAAGCCCGGGTTCACACTGATGCGGTGCGGAATTTGCAGCGTGTTCAGTGCAGATTCCGGACCGCATCAGAATCGCACACTATTCATGCAAACCGCTGCGGGTGGGTATGTTAACAACACCCCGAAAGAGGTCCACAAAACGCGGTGCAATGTGTAGAGTCGGATCAAATAGGTGTGAATACTCATGCGATCCGATTTGAGTGTGGACCCGAAAGAGGGTCCTGCACGTTTTTGGTGCGGGTGTGGTGCGAATAAAGCCATACAAAATGTATGGCTCCAATCGCACCGCACACAAATCGCATGTGATTTGCACAGGAATGGGGTGCGGTTCCTGTGCAAATCACATGCAATATACCGCATATACAGTCAGGTCCATAAATATTGGGACATCGACACAATTCTAACATTTTTGGCTCTATACACCACCACAATGGATTTGAAATTAAACTAACAAGATGTGCTTTAATTGCAGACTGTCAGCTTTAATATGAGGGTATTTACATTCAAATCAGGTGAACGGTGTAGGAATTACAACAGTTTGCATATGTGCCTCCCACTTGTTAAGGGACCAAAAGTAATGGGACAGAATAATAATCATAAATCAAACTTTCACTTTTTAATACTTGGTTGCAAATCCTTTGCAGTCAATTACAGCCTGAAGTCTGGAACGCATAGACATCACCAGACGCTGGGTTTCACCCCTGGTGATGCTCTGCCAGGCCTCTACTGCAACTGTCTTCAGTTCCTGCTTGTTCTTGGGGCATTTTCCCTTCAGTTTTGTCTTCAGCAAGTGAAATGCATGCTCAATCGGATTCAAGTCAGGTGATTGACTTGGCCATTGCATAACATTCCACTTCTTTCCCTTAAAAAACTCTTTGGTTGGTTTTGCAGTATACTTTGGGTCATTGTCCATCTGCACTGTGAAGCGGCGTCCAATGAGTTCTGAAGCATTTGGCTGAATATGAGCAGATAATATTGCCCGAAACACTTCAGAATTCCTCCTGCTGCTTTTGTCAGCAGTCACATCATCAATAAATACAAGAGAAGCAGTTCCATTGGCAGCCATACATGCCCACGCCATGACACTACCACCACCATGCTTCACTGATGAGGTGGTATGCTTAGGATCATGAGCAGTTCCTTTCCTTCTCCATACTCTTCTCTTCCCATCACTCTGGTACAAGTTGATCTTGGTCTCATCTGTCCATAGGATGTTGTTCCAGAACTGTGAAGGCTTTTTTAGATGTCGTTTGGCAAACTCTAATCTGGCCTTCCTGTTTTTGAGGCTCACCAATGGTTTACATCTTGTGGTGAACCCTCTGTATTTACTCTGGTGAAGTCTTCTCTTGATTGTTGACTTTGACACACATACACCTACCTCCTGGAGAGTGTTCTTGATCTGGCCAACTGTTGTGAAGGGTGTTTTCTTCACCAGGGAAAGAATTCGTCGGTCATCCACCACAGTTGTTTTCCGTGGTCTTCCGGGTCTTTTGGTGTTGCTGAGCTCACCGGTGCGTTCCTTCTTTTTAAGAATGTTCCAAACAGTTGTTTTGGCCACGCCTAATCTTTTGCTATCTCTGTGATGGGTTTGTTTTGTTTTTTCAGCCTAATGATGGCTTGCTTCACTGATAGTGACAGCTCTTTGGATCTCATCTTGAGAGTTGACAGCAACAGATTCCAAATGCAAATAGCACACTTGAAATGAACTCTGGACCTTTTATCTGCTCATTGTAATTGGGATAATGAGGGAATAACACACACCTGGCCATGGAACAGCTGAGAAGCCAATTGTCCCATTACTTTTGATCCCTTAACAAGTGGGAGGCACATATGCAAACTGTTGTAATTCCTACACCGTTCACCTGATTTGGATGTAAATACCCTCAAATTAAAGCTGACAGTCTGCAGTTAAAGCACATCTTGTTCGTTTCATTTCAAATCCATTGTGGTGGTGTATAGAGCCAAAAATGTTAGAATTGTGTCAATGTCCCAATATTTAAGGACCGGACTGTATGTGAGCCCAGGTTTAAGGAACATCTCCCTGATGAGGTCATCCCAGTTCTCTCCCCTCCTGCATTCCAAGTGCAACCCCTCCCTTCCCTATCCTGAGTGTTGGTATCAGCAGGGGCGTATTTACCACAAGGCAAACAAGGCACTTGCCTAGGGCGGCATTTTTTTAAGGGGGCAGCACCTCCCTCTAGAAGAAGGAATGAAAGAAGGGACACACACACCATGGGAATCAGGCGGGATCCGAGAGAGGCTGTGGGCTTCTTCATGATGTATGCAGAGCCTGATTCTCCTTCCCGGGGTCTCTCTATCGCTGGGATGGGGGGGTAGTGGAAGGCTTTCCCAGATGGGGGGCAGGGGTGTTTTTGGTCAATGTCAGGCTCTCTCCGCAGGAGGGGGAAGGGGGGGTTGTGTTGGTTGGTGTCTGGGGGGTAGACAATTTTTGTGTTGCCTAGGGCAGTACGAAACCAAAATACACTGATGGGTATTAGAATAGGTTTGAAGAATAATTCCAGGAATGTCTATATTAGACACAGATACATTGGTCCAGCTTGTACCAATGTAACTATGTATATACCATACTTGGCCAATACCCCTGGAATCTGCAAACAGCTGTAGCAGACACAGCTACTACAGTTATCTCCCCTTGATTCCAGGTCCTGTGCTGAGTGGCTCCACTCCTCCTTATTGAACACAGGAGGTCGGCTGCTCAGCACAGACAAGAATACATTGAATGCCTTCAGGACAGCTATTGACGGGAAAATGTCCCAAATGATACACAAACAGCAAAACATAACCTTCTCTATCTTAAACCAACATACAATAAACTGGCTTCTCATACACTTTAGAGCCTTTTCACACCATCAGTGTTGGGCTGTGTTTGGCAGCCTTGACCAGCACAGTCCCAAAGCAAAGACAAGGCAATTATTTACCTTTCTTGCTATGAAGTCTTTTCTTTTGTGTTGCAGTGGTATACACTAAAAAAAAGTACCGAACGCAGCATGTTGAAGAATAAAACACCTAATTGGAGCAGTGAATAAAACGGAATGAAATGTCACTGTGACTTTTCAAAAAAGTTCTAATAAAAAAAAGCAGACAGTACAAAGCACCAGGATTGACACATCAGTACTGTTCCTCCCAGGGTACACTAGTGACTCTGTATTCAACGTGGCTGCTGGGGTGTACAAACCCTTATGCAAGCCATAGACGGGTTGAAAACCCCCCGGTTTTAAAAAAAAAAAATGAAAAATCGGTTGTTCAATAGGCCGACATTACCACCAACGGTAAAAAAATCGTCCGATTTTCGTCCCATCTACGGCCGGCATTTAATTACTTCTGTCCCTGCAGAGAACTCCGCTATTAAATTTGACATGAAAAAGTATTGCAGTTGCAACAATGTATCTATTTGTATCCATTTCGGATACAGATGTTTTTATTTGGATACAAATAGATATATTGTTGCAACCGCAATACATTTTCATGTCAAATATAATAGCGGACTGGAATTCTTCTTCTTTTTCTTCTTCTTTCTTCTTCTTTTTCTTCTTCTTGCAGGCCATGGCTCATGCACAGATTTTGTATCGGTAAA